TATTTCCTGAAACTAACTAGGTTTTTTTTTGTTAAAAATAATATGGTGAAAAGGGCCCAACTTCTAAGTTATGTCTCTGATATTTTTAAAAGGCTTCTCATCTCATTAAATCTTGTCCTTCCTGTATAGCTGTGGTTCCCAAACCTTTTTTGTTTTTTGTTTTTTTACCAGGGACCACTTGACTTTGAACATGGACCACTCTCCAACATTAGTACCAAAAGGGTTACAAATCAGGTTTTTTTTGTCAACTTTAGATTTGGTTTGGTTATTTGGAGTGCTGATTCAGAAAATTGCATTGGATAGACCACATCACCTCTAGTTTCTGATTCAGAACATATGCCATCCAGTAGTCACCATCTGCTCGCCCACAGAAAATCGTATTTAATAACCTAGAGCCACAGACCTTATTTTAGGTCTTGCAGCCCACCAGTGGGCCACGGTCAACAGGTTGGGGACCACTGCTATATGATTATGAATATTTAAACCATTTGTTTAAATATCAAAGTTCAATTACCCATTGTATCTTTACATGTACAATCGCAATATTACTTCTGGATGGTCCAGCAATCTATTTTATATTTAGGATTTGAAAATACATAAGATTCAAGTTGCGTGTGCAAGGGCAATACACCTCCCACAGCCAACCCGAGAAATACACTCACACAGGTTGTTTGGATAACCAATGGCCACAACTTATTTATTGATAACAGGAACAAGGGTTGGCAGCCATGCATGGGTCCTGGATCAAGATCGGGCAGCCCACTGCTGTCCGATACCACAAAATGCCTGGGTGCCGCCGGCACAATACCCAGCCAACGTAAACTCGGCACCCCTGGGACCACCAGACGTTCCCCCCTTCCGCTAGGGGGGATACCAAGCCAGATCCAGGGCCCATGCCCCACGCCAACAAGGAGTTGTAACGAGTAGCATAACACAAGCAACTCTTAACAGGTAACCAGGACAAGCTAACAAAACAAAAACTAACCACCAATGAAAACGCAAACAGCATGCAGAGTGGGTGGAGTGGATCAGCTGATGCAGGCACAGTGCCTGCTGGGGAGCTTGGAGAAGCCTTAAATAGGCTGCCCGAGAGGAAGGAGAGGCCAGCTGCGGCTCTCCAGCAGTGAGGCGTGGTCAGCTGGCCATTGGCCACTTGGCCAGATGGGGGGAAACTTTCCCGCCATCCAGGGGGGCTTCTGGGAGGAAGAAGCCCCTCTGAGGCAAGAATGGCGGTGGGGGACGCCTCACACCACAACCTCCCTGGCCCGGTAAGTCAGGCCATGCCTTTTCTTACAAGTCTGTGCAGAACACACACTGTTCTTGTTTTCATAGCATCAAGATTCAACTTTTTATTTTTAGTTCATAGTTTGTTCTTTCTTGCATTTCCTAAAAGAACGTTACATACATTCCATGAACAATCAAGGCTGTAATCTGCAGCTTTGTTTACAAGAATTTAAAATAGCAGTTCCCAGTAAATATCACACCAAGTACAGGTGCTTGACTAAAGACCATCATCATAATTTCATCCATGTTTCTGACACACAGCAGCCCTTATGGCATTGCTATTTCAAGCAAAACAGATGCTCTCCATTGCACATATTTGATCAGACAATGCCAGTGCACCCATGTATGCTTCCTCACCACAAGTGATCAATTTTATTAGCTACTACAGTTGTCATGGTACCTATTCCACTTTAACCTGAGGCTATCTCATTCTACAATAAGAGCTAAGCCAAAGATGTGAATGAAGCACGAAAAGTCTGATTTGCTTTCTCTTTGACCCAAGCAGTACAGATAGCCAAATGAAACTTACAGCTTTTTCACCAAAGTGAATCTAATTTGTAGGTGCTAAAAGGGATCATCATGACTTACTGTCTTCCTGTTATTTATGTTTTAATATATACAGCACTGTGCTAGGTGCTTCACAGAACCAGCAACTAGTCCCACATGACAATGTGCAACAAGGCAATGCTGCAGTTGTTAAGAGCAGAACTTGGAGGAGTAGCTGATCTCCAGGAAGAAACAGCTTAACCAGTGAAAAGTAGATAATGCTCCTAGGTATAAACAGCAGTATACCAGGCACATAGAATGTGAATGTGTGAACAAGGGAACCAAGAGTCCTTTAGCTTGTACAGATGGAGTTAAATGTCCAAATATTCAACTGCCAGCTGATGGGAGTTATAATCCAAACCATTTGCAGGGTGCCAAGGTGGGAGATGCAAAACTAGAAAAAAACTAAGGATAAATCAAATAACCTGCTTGGAAAGCATCTCACAGATATGGCTAGGGCAGCTACCTCCATTTGTGTGGCAAGGATCCCAATGACTTAGCAACTTTTTGCCCAGGGATGATAGCACAGGTCTTCAAAATCTCACCACTCTTTTGGACTAGTAGATGGATACAGGATGATCGTGTTAGCAACCCAATCCAAACTGGGCTCATGTTAACCCACAGAACTCAAACTCTGCAAAAAGTTCAGTAAATAAACTGTATCAGGTTTAAAACTGATACAGCAGAACCAGCAATGAGAGAAATGATGAGATTGGAGCATTGAGAAGAACAAAAACCACTCATCTTTATTCAATATCCTTCCATCAGATCAAATTGCTTGTGGAAGAAGTTCCTATTAATTTAGGCACTGATTAAGAACTGTAGTATAACCATTTTCACATGTCAGTGGATCATACCGTACTCCCTAGGCCAGTGGTTCTCAACCTGTGGGTCCCCAGATGTTTTGGCCTTCAACTTCCAGAAATCCTAACAGCTGGTAAACTGGCTGGGATTTCTGGGAGTTGTAGACCAAACCACCTAGGGACCCACAGGTTGAGAACCTAAGCTGTTTCAGTCCAAACAAAAAAGGTTGGTTATTAACCTACATACTCCAATCTGGAATTTTCCAGACACTTTGAATTATAGTTGCCACTGGCCACAACCAGCATGATGATGGAAGTTGTACTTCTAAGCAGCTGGAGGCCACCAATGCTGTAATATTACGTTTTGTCCCTATTACCAAGTTCTTTGAATGTAAGCAGCCTTCTATTCTTATAGCAAGTATAGGAATTGTTAGCTCTATGGATCTCTTGGCCTACAATTGCCATCAACCCTGCCCAGCATGGCCAGCGATAAGAAACCACTAAAGTTGCCATCCAAAATAGCTCAAGCACCAAAGTTCCTCACTTCCGCAACCCAGTATGCAGATTACTGGAAAACTATAATCCAGAACGGACAGAGTATTTGTTTATATACCTTGAAAACTGCAAACACAGGTAAATATATTAAAGCATCCTGTGTTTGGTATAGTCACTCATTCTGATTGTTATCATGGTTGGTTCTGAAAAGGTCAGTTTGTTTGGTTGGTCGATGGTTGCATGCTGCAAGTAGCTTCTGATGTGAGAGAATCAGCTGTCTTCAAAGATGTTGCCCAGGGGATACCCGGATGTTCGGATCCTGCGGGAAGGCTTCTCTCATGTCATATTACGATATTTCATAATATTGTACAAAAGCTTACTGGCACAACCTGAGGATCACAATCAGACACCTTGCTGAATGCCCAGTGTGGAAAACATCATGTTAAAACAGTGGATTTGGCTCTTAGTGAGACACAACGCATTATCACAGGATGTCTACGCCCCACATCACTGGCGAAATTACACTGTTCAGCCGGTATTGCACCATCTGACATCTGCCAAGAAGTAGCAGCCAGCAATAAAAGGATCAAGGCATTGACATCTTTTGCCCATCCTCTGTTTGGATATCAGTCAGCATGTCAATGCCTTAAATCAAGAAACAGCTTCCTAAGATCTACAGAGATACTCACAGGAACACCTCAGCAAATAAGAGTCCAAAAGTGGCAGGCTAAAACCCATCACCTCAATCAGTGTGAGAAACTGGATGAGAAACTCCTTTCTGGGCACACAGAAAAGTGGACGACCTGGAAGGAATTGAACAGGCTGAGCTCTGGCACCACAAGATACAGAGCTAACCTTAAGAAATGGGGCTACAAAGTAAGTTCCGCAAGATGCGAATGCAGAGAAGTGCAAACCACAGACCAACTATTACAATGCAGTCCTGCCACATGCACAATGGAGGACCTTCTCACAGCGACACCAGAGGCACTCCAAGTGGCCAGCTTCTGATCAAAGGACATTTAGCATGATGCCAAGTTTTTTTTAACTTTGTTTTTAAATGCATTTTAACTGTATCCTCAACTCATTTCTGACACGATAAATAAATACTCATTCTGATTGTTCAAAGCAATGGCAGACCCTCCACTGCAAGTGACAGCAAGCACATGACCCATGTTGAATTAATACAAACAACTATCAGTACACTTCTGAAGAAACAGGCTTTCCAAATCATTAGTTCTGTCACTTTCATTTCACAGAAAGAGCACATTAACTCCTCCAATCAGAAGAGCTTGGAACGTTCATGATCACTGCTTATTAGCATGTTCTCCAAATACTGCTCGACATTCCATCTCTCATACTACAGATTTTTATGTTTTGAGATTTTTACAGGAGTAATTTTTAGCACAGGATAACCTTTGTACAGAGAGAGGGAAGTCCACATCAAACCAGCGCAAGTGCCTTGTTGGGAATGATTTCAAATGGGCATCTATTTTGAGATTTGAAAAGTTTCCAGAAAGCTACCGAGAGGAGGAAAACTTTAGCAAGAAGACTCCAAAACAAAACTTTTATCTGCACAACCAGGGACACCTGCCAAAACAATCCAGAAGCCACTCCCCTCTTTAACCTGCTATTATAGGCCTTCCCCTCTTTTCTTTCCAATGACTCTGTTCCCAAACATAGACTGGAATCAAGAGAAACATAATATGGAATGTGTTTGGTGTATTTTGTCTAACAGACTCCCCCCTCCATCCTGGTGCGGGATACTGGAACACTTCATGCAGATACACAACACCACCCACACGACAAGGAGGTTTTACCTGTTTATGAAGAGGCATATCTTATCAGATTATGAGATAGGAAGGCTTTGTTTACCTCTTAAATGCTTCGGCAGGGTTCCTCTCACATTCCCCAGGCTGCAAGAGACACTGAACAGCTGGATCTCTCAGCTTGTCTTCGTATCCTTGGATGAGTCCACTGCGACAGATCTGGGCAACTAACCCTCGAATAAAGCCGCCCACGCAGAGTGTGTCCGAGTCCTGAGCCCTGCAGAAGTGGAAGGCCAGGGCTTGGTGATGCAGACCCCGCTGGAGACTCGCAGGTGAGCTCGGCCACAGCAACTCAGTACAAAAGGCTGTCTTGCCACTGCCAGGTCCTCCCACTAACAACACCCCCCAGGCAGCTCCTTTGCCAGGGACAACACAGGTATTCGTCCCGGAATTCAGCACAACGGAGGGTTTGTTGGCAGTGCTGTTGCTACAGCTTGTCTTTTCCTGGAGGCAGTGTTGAAGCTTGTGAAAAACCCACTCTCGACAATAAAACGGTTTCCCCTGCAGCAAGCTGGTCTGAGCCATTATGCAGGCTTTCTCTCTCTCTGGGACAGGTCAGAAACAGCAAGGCATCTTAAGATCCCTTTAAGCAAGCAGGTCCTTAGCTCCAAGCCAATGGACTCATTGTACAGAGCACTGTCACAAGGGGAAATGCAACCCACAAATGCTTCATCACCTCACATAATGGTCAGCTGCATCTCTGCATGTCAAGCAGCTTTTCTCCATCCCAACTTTCTCCTGATTAGCACATGATGTATTGCTGCTCATCCGATTTAAAGATAAAGCTATGTTTGATACCAAGGCTCAGTAATGCTTCTCATATGGCTTAAAAGGTCACACCGTGTCATGACTGCAGCTTCAGCTTATAGGGCCACATGTTCTCTTATGCAGACAGTGCCTCGGAAAAAAGCAGATGTTTCCACATGCCTGCAGAATCCCTGCATGTTCTCGCCTCTTTAAATTCCCACCATTGCAAAAATCTGCGAGTTTTACAACCTTTGCCTTTCTCAAGACTTTGGAAAGACAGGACAAATTTCTTCTTTTCTCCCTTTAGATGAATGTGGCTTACAACGCAAACGTATGGATTGACTTTGCTTTATTGAGAAGTCATTTGTTGAAACTCAGACAAGCTTCTGTGGTCACCTGAAGAACTTTGTGATCATGGTGTTGGATTGATCAGAACAAGGTCAAAACAGAAGAATCTTGTTTACAAGTGACATCCTGCACGTGCCTTCCTCGCCATCTTCCCTTTCACCAAAACACTCTGGCATCTCAGCTGCAGAGTTTGAGCAGACCACACCTGAAAATTAAAACATCACCAACATGTGTTAGCTTCTACACACAAGGGAATTGAATGTTGAGTAAGAACAAATCAATGCCACTCACACATGGAGTATATAAACAGCTTTGTCCTGAGAATGAATTCCATTTGTATGCCCTGAATCATATAGTTCACCGTTTCTCAACCTGGGGATTGGGACTCCTAGGGCAAGACGTTGCGAGGGGGGTGTCAGGGAGGTTGTAAAAGACCACCAGAAAACACAGTATTTTCTGTTGGTTATGGGGGTTCTGTGTGGGAACTTTGGCCCAATTCTATCATTGCTGGGGTTCAGAATGCTCTCTGATTTTAGGTGAACTGTAAATCCAAACAACTACAACTCCCAAATATCAAGGTGCATTTTCCCCAAACTCCACCAATGTTCACATTTGGCCATATTGAGTATTCGTGCCAAGTTTGCTCCTGATCTATCATTGTCTGAATCCACAGTGCTCTCTGGGTTTAGGTGAACTACAACTCCAAAACTCAAGGTCAATGCCCACCAAACCCTTCCAGTACTTTCTGTTGGTCATGGGACTTCAATGTGACAAGTTTGGTTCAATTCCATCGCTGGTGGAGTTCACAGTGCTCTTTGATTGTAGGTGAACTATAAATCCCAACAACTACAACTGCCAAATGACAAAATAATTTGAATACCCCACCAGTATTCAAATTTGGGCATATTGGATATTTATGCCAAATTTGGTCCAGTGAATGAAAATACATCCTGCATACCAGATGTTTACATTACGATTCATAACAGTAGCAGAATTATAGTTACGATGTAGCAACAGAAATAATTTTATGGATGGAGGTCACAATACTAGGGGTTTTTTTCCGTTAGGAGCGACTTGAGAAACTGCAAGTTGCTTCTGGTGTGAGAGAATTGGCAGTCTGCAAGGACTTTTGCTCAGATGTTTTGATCAGGATGGTTGAGAACCACTGTTATAGGTGGTCTCCTGCATTGATGGATTCTATTATCCATGAATTCATTTTCAAAAAAGCAACCCTTGACTTTGCCATTTCATACACTGTATATAATGCGACTTGAGCATCCAGAGATCTGGCAACCAATACCTAGCAGATGCTGGTGAGTCTCCAGATGTATACATATTCAACAGATAACAAACAGCAGCATCTAACAGCCTTGAATTGCCTTCAAGTCATTCATACATAGGTAAAGGATTTCCCCTGACATTAAGTCTAGTCATGTCCAACTCTGGGGGTTGGTGCTCACCTCCATTTCTAAGTCGAAGTGTTGGCATTATCCATAGACACCTCCAAGGTCATGTGGCTGGCATGACTGCATGGAGCACCGTTACCTTCCCACCGAAGCGGTGCCTATTGATCTATCACTTATGCATGTTTTCAAACTGCTAAAGCTGAGGCTAACAGCGGGAGCTCATGCTGCTCGCTGGATTCGAAGTACTGACTTTTCAATCAGCAGATTCAGCAGCTCGGTGGTTTAACCCACTGTGCCATGGGGGGCTCCAACATAAGACAGCATAAGAACCCCCTTAAAAAAATCCAAGCCCAAGCACTGTCTTCTTTATGACCTATTTGCTATCCTTGATCCCAGCCCAGCCCTGGGTCTTCCAAACCTCTTTTGTACCTGCTTCCTATTACAGCCAACCAGGAGTTCCCCTTTACAGCTTTTCACAGCCTTCTTTGTTCAGGGAGGATATACAGGCAGCCTTTGGAGCCACGTTTTAACTTACCCTCCTCCTCCTCCTCCTTCCTCCCCTTCCCCTCCCTTGGCATTGTTGCTGTGCAGCATGCTGTTTCTGTCATCTGTTCTGCTCAGAGCAGATCCATGCAGCCAGCCTCTCTCTCTCTCTCTCTCTTTTGCATTTGTCCTAGGCTTTGTCTCCCACTCCCCTCCCTTCCACTGCCTGCACGGCCAAGGCTTCACGTTTCAGATTGGGACAAAAACAAAACAAAACCCCAGAGAGATCCAACCGCCTTGTGTCTCCCTGTCGTTGCTTCTGCTGCAAAGGCTGGACTCACAAAAAAGCGAAGAGAAAGAGGTGGCGGGGCTGCCACTGGAAGAGATCCACGCCCTGTCCTCACTCCCCTCACCCCACCCGAGAGAGGGACACGCAGCAGAGGAGCAGGAGGGGCAAGAGGAGCAGCCTTCCTCTCTTCTTCCCCTCATCCGGATCAGATGCCATTTGGTTTCTAATCTTGGGAGGAGGGTAGTTTGAGGGAGAAAGGACCCCAACACACATACACACACACACTTACTCCCAGTCCCTCCAGCTTCTTGCTTTCTCTCCCCGTCCATTGGTGGGATCTGGATTTCAAACACACAAGGCAGACAGGCCCCATCTATCTACGCTGCCATAGAAGGCAGCTCGAAACTGTACTATATATACAGTCAGTGTAGTAGACTCATAGAATGCAATTCGTGACCTGCATTCTTGGACTCTCCACTGACCTTATAACTGGCATGGGCAAACTTTGGCCCTCCAGGTGTTTTGGACTTCAACTCACACCATTCCTCAGTTTTCCGGGCTGAATGGCCATGTTCCAGAAGCATTCTCTCCTGCCATTTCGCCTGCATCTATGGCAGGCATCCTCAAGAGGTTGTGAGGTCTGTTGGAAACTAGGAAAGTGGGGTTTATATATCTGTGGAATGTCCTGGATGGGAGAAAGAACTCTTGTCTGTTGGAGGCAAGTGTGAATGTTGCAATTGACCACCTTGGGTAGTGTTTAATGGCCTTGCAGTTTCAAGATCTGTCTGCTTACTGCCTGGTGGAATCCTTTGTTGGTAGGTGGTTGCTTACTGCCCAAAGGAATCCTTTGTTGGGAACTGATTAGCTGGCCCTGATTATTTCTTGTCTGGAATTCTCCTGTTTTTGAGTGTTGTTCTTTATTTAATGTTTTGATTTTAGAGGTTTTTTATAAAAAAAAAATACAGGTAGCCAGATTTTGTTCATTTTCATTGTTTCCCCAGGCAGGAAGCAGCCAGACTTTGAAACTGCAAGGCCATTGAAGGCAAATCAAGATGGCCAGTTGCAATATTCTCACTTGCCTCAAGCAGAGTTCTTTCTCCAACCCTGGACATTATTCCACAGATATATAAACCCCACTTGCCTAGTTTACAACAGACCTCACAACTGGGTTGTTGTACAATACATAGACCTCATAACCTGAGGATGCCTGCCATAGTTGCAGGCGAAGCGTCAGGACAGAATGCTACTGGAACATGGCCAGACAGCCAGGAAAACTCACAGCAACCTAGTGATTCCAGCCAGGAAAGCCTTCGAGCTAGGAATTGTGGGAGTTGCAGTCCAAAACAGCTGGAGGACCGAAGTTTGCCTATGCCTGCCTAATAATAACAGTTTCACGTTGCATCCTATGGCAGTGAGTGTAGCTAACACATACACACGTCCACGCGTGCCTGTGTATTCCCCGGCCTCTCTTTGCCTCTTGTGTCTGCAAAAGGCCCCGAGGAGAGAAGCCCAACGCGGTATCTGACCAAACAGTCCCCACATTCAAGCCGGATCCGAGCCAAAAGACACCCACCAGGCAGAAAGCGCGGCTGTCACTCTCGCAAGGAGGCTGGGAATGGTGGGCACCAGACACGCGGGGGACCCTCTTGCAGGCGCTCAGACGCCCCCGTGTCACGGGAGGGCAGGCAAAGGCTGCAGGAAGGGGACAAAGCGGGCTTTCCTACCGGGAGGGGCTTCCCAGAGCCGGCTCGTTGCAGAAGAATCCAAGGAATGGGGAGGAAGGAGGAGCTGCCTCTTCTTTTCCTTCTCCTAGTCTTTCTTCCTCCCTCGAAGTTGTCCAGAGGCAGACGGGCTGGTTTCCCCGGCTGGCTTCCTCCTCTCCTCTAGGCGGATTTTGCAGCGGGCTCGGCTTCCCCTCCCGCTCCTGGAGCCGCTCCCCCGAAGCGGGCGGGAGGACGAATCCCGGAGCCTTCTCCGCCCCTTGGCCCTCCGCTGCCCGGCCTCCTCTAACCTGCCAGATTCGGAGACTCCCAGACGTCTGGCTGCTCCGGCTAAACCACGCCTCCTCCTCTCTGGCCACGCCCCTTATGGGACTGGAGCTACTTTGTGTTCGGGCGTGGGCGGAGCCTGCCCTAGAAGCATTCCCCGCCTCACGATTGGAGTGTGGGCGTGGCCACACTCAGCGCCTCCTCTGAAGCCACGCCCCTTACAGGACTGGAGCTGCTTTGTGTTCGGGTGTGGGCGGGGCCTACCCTAGAAGCATCTCCCGCCTCACGTTTGTGATGTGGGCGGGGCTACATTCCTCGTCTCCCCTGAAGCCACGCCCCTTACAGGACTGGAGCTGCTTTGTGTTCGGGCATGGGCGGGGCTTTCCCTGGCCTCAAGTTTGTGGTGTGGGCGGGGCTACATTCAGCGTCTTCCCTGAAGCCACGCCCCTTACGGAACTGGAGCGGCTTTGTGTTCGGGCGTGGGCGGGGCCTGCTCTAGAGGCATTCCCCGCCCCCTTTGTAGTGTGGGCGGAGTCACATTCGCTACCTCCCCCTGAAGCCACGCCCTCAGCCTCTTCCCCCGCTAGCCACGCCTCCTCCGGCTTTGTCTTTGGGGCGATATGAGCTGCTTTTGTCTTCGGGGCGGAGCCAAGCTGAGTTACCGCCGGCGACTCCCAGATATCTGCCTCCCCTTGCGAGGCCACGCCTCCGCCGCCTCGCTGGACACGCCCCCTCCCCGCCTGCCCCGCCCCTATGTGCGCCGAAGCTGCTCTGTGTTTGGGGCGGGGCCAAGCGGGGTGGGCGTGGCCTGTTTTACTCCAGGGGCGGGGTGTCCCTTATTATCCGAAATGCTGCGGAACAAATGTGTTCAGGTTTTCAGATTTTCATTTTTCCACATTTTGGAATATTTGCTTGCACATAATGAGATGGGACAAGGCAATAGTCCTTTTTGATTTTAGGAAACTACAACTCCCATGATTCTATAGCAGTGTTTCTCAACCTTCCTAATGCCGTGACCCCTTAATCCAGTTCCTCATGTTGTGACCCCCAACCATAACATTATTTTTGTTGCGACTTCACAACTGTGATTTTGCTACTGTTACGAATTGTCATGTAAATATAATATGCAGGATGTATTTTCATTCAATGGACTGAATTTGGCACAAATACCCAGTATGCCCAAATTTGTATACTGGCAGGGTTGGGGCAAGGGGTTGATTTAGTGATTTGGAATTTGTAGTTGCTGGGATTTATAGCTCACCTACAATCAAAGAGCATTCTGAACATTCTAAACCGAACTTGGCACATAGAACTTCCATGACCCACAGAAAATACGCGAAGGGTTTGGTGGGCATTGACCTTGAGTTTGGGAGTTGTAGTTCACCTATATCCTGAGAGCACCGTGGACTCAAACAATTATGGATCTGGACCAAACTTGGCACGAATACTCAATATGCCCAAATGTGCACACTGGGGAGTTTTGGGAAAACAGACCTTGACATTTGGGAGTGGTAGTTGCTGGGATTTATAGTTCACCTGCAATCAAAGAGCATTCTGAATCCCACCAATGATATAATTGGGTCAAACTTCCCACACAGAACCCCCATGACCAACAGAAAATACTGTGTTTTCTGGTGGTCTTTGGTGACCCCTATAGCATCCCTTCGCGACCCCCACAGGGGTACCGACCCCCAGGTTGAGAAACGTGTTCTATAGCATTGAGCACTAGCCCTCTTTGACAGAGAAGGCGAAGGACCTTAGAAAACTACAGCTCCCATGATTGCATAGCATTGAGCCATGGCCGTTTTTTTTTAATTTTTCCACATTTTGAAATATTTGCTTACACATAATGAGAAGGGACAAAGCACTAGCCTTGAAAACTACAACTCCCATGATTCCATAGCATTGAGCCAAGGTAGTTTTTCTCCCACATTTTTTAGTATTTGCTTACACATAATGAGATGGGACAAGGCACTGTCCCTCTTTGGCAAAGGAGGTGAAAGACCTTAGAAAACTACAGCTCCCATGATTCCATAGCATTGAGCCATGGCAAATAAAAGTAGTGTCAAACTGCATCAATTCTACAGCGCAGACGCACTCTGCAAGGCATAGGTTTCTCAGATTTGCTGCTGGCGAAAACACAGGAAAGGACAGACTTTTCTTTGAGCAAAAAGAACTGCAAATGACATAAGTGGAAATGCAAACTTTATTCATTTACATTTTAAAAAAAAGAATAAACTTTGCATTTCCACCTCTTCCATCTCCAAGATGATTTTGTGTGTGTGTGGGAGGAGGGATAATGAAAGGTCAAAGGACAGGTAAACAATCTGGTTTCCCATCTGTGTCCAGGTAGGCTTCCAGATGGTAGAAATCTGTGCGTTTCAGCACCTGCTGTTGAAAATATTAATGGAAGGGCGGGGGGGGGGGGGGGGGGGGAGACGGGAAATACAACCTGCGTTCTGTATCCACATATTTATTTATTTATTATTTGAAACATTTATATTACGTCCTTCTCACCCTGAAGGGGACTCAGGGCGGAGCCCAACAGATATACAGCAAGCATTCCATGCTGGGATATAAAACTATAAATATACACAAACACTAAAATGAGTTATATCTACTTTAAAATCAGTTGTTTAAAACCATCTCAAAGCACCCTGCTGGCTCCGGTCCACGGAGTGGGTTTCCTATTATTGCACTGTCCCATATTGTCTTATTGCACTAGAGGGCCAAAGTTTGCCCATGTCTGTCCTAGACCCAAACCCCAGTGGATATTAAGGGCTCAAAGGCTTGGTCCCACAACCAGGTTTTTACCTTTTTTCTGAAGGAAAGGAGGGAGGGGGCTGATCTAATTTCACTAAGAAGGGAGTTCCATAGCTGGGGGTCAATCACTGAGAAGGCCCTCTCTCTCGTCCCCACTAAATGTGCCTGTGACGATGGCAGGACCGAGAGCAGGGCTTCCCCAGAAGATCTTAGTCTTCGCAGTGGTTTGTAAAGGGAGATGTGTTCGGACAGGTAAACTGGGCCGGGGCTGTTAAGGGCTTTATAGGCCAAAGCCAGCACTTTGAATTGTGCCTGGTGGCAAACGGGCAGCCAGTGCAGCTGATGTAACATATGAGTTGTTTGCTCCCTGTACGCTGCCCCATTTATTAACCTGGCTGCCTCTTGTTGGACTATTTGAAGCTTCTGAACAGTCTTCAAAGGCAACCCCACATAGAATGCATTGCAGCAATCTATCCTGGATGTAACGAGAGCCAAGTGTGGCCAAGTCTGACTTCCCAAGGTACGGGCGCAGCTGGTGCACAAGTTTTAATTGTGCAAAAGCCTCCCTAGCCACCACTACAACCTGAGGTTCCAGGCTCAGCAATGACTCCAGGAGGACTCCCAAACTGCGAACCTGCACCTTCAAGGGGAATGTAACCCCATCCAGCCAGGCTGTAACCCTATACCTTGTTCACCCTTGCAACTCCACCATCAGGAGCTTGAAAATATTCTGAAAAGCAAACTTCTATTTTGTCATTTTTCATAAGGGACACTATTTACTACATCATTGTATACCATGGGACTTGAGTATCCATGGATATTATTATACATGGTCCTAGACCAGGCATGGACAAACTTTGGCACTCCAGGTATTTTGGACGTCAACTCCCAGAATTCCTAATAGCCTTAGGCTCCTTCCTTTTCCCCCTCAGCCGCTTAAGTAGCTAAGGAAGAAAATGAGGGGGCCTGAGGCTGTTAGGAATTCTGGGAGTTGAAGTCCAAAACAGCTGGAGGGCCAAAGTTTGCCTGGATATCAAGGGCGCACTGCAAAGTGTCATTTTCCAAAGCTGGCTTGCTATGTCTCCATAAAAGATTACTTCATCTGTTCCCATCTTTCCCCCAAACCCACCCTTTCAAAAGGTGTGTAACCTGTTATTCTGCTCTTGCAGGTGTATCCTGTAGCAGAGTTTGGCATCCAGGCGCTTTCTGATGCAGAAATGCTCTAAACAAATTGCTTCCGGAAAAAAGAACCGATATGTTATTAATAAGCACTCATATGTCGTTGCAATTTTCTGCTCCAAACTGGCAAGAATTTACTCAAAATTGCATTACGATTCCAAATGCCCATTTTTGGAAGTAACTCCAGTGCTTTTTGTTCAAGTGAGTTCCTACTCATTTCTATGCAAAATAAATGCTGGCTAACTATGCAGGTCCATGTTTTGAAAGTGAATTTAGCCATACAAGCACTCTTGCTCAAAGTGATGAAATAATGTTTATGGTGATTATTTGTAGAGATAGCAGTTGTGTTGGTCAGAAAAGCTAGAGCTCCAGCTCCATCAAGGGAGGGTGGAGTTGCAAAGAATGCTGTCACAGAGTTCCAGAGCAGAAAGGAAACCGGAAAAGCAAGAAACAAAGCCAGTTTAGTTAGCAAGTGTATTGCAAAAGGAATAGAGTCATATGGTATTATGCTAGAGATTACATCATGACAGAATATAAATTCCAAATTTCAGGTATGACCTCCAACAAAATGTTGCAGTATGGAGGACTTCAGTGTTGCCTGTTAGATCCCGCCCCCCCCAGCCATCCGAGTCAAATTATTTGGATTTAAAGCATGCTCAAGATGTTGCTATGCTTAGAGAAGGGCCATTTAAAGGATTTTGCAGGTTTTGGTTTTCTTCTTGGCCCCTTCCACACAGCTGAATAAAATCCCACACTGTCTGCTTTGAACTGGAATATATGACAGTGTGGATTCAGATAACCCAGTTCAAAGCAGATATTGCGGGATTTTCTGCCTTGATATTCTGGGTTGTATGACTGTGTTTGTCCCATTACAGCTTCCCATACCATTGGTTAAAAGGCTGTTAGAATAAATTAAAGTCGTGTAAAAAAGGAGTTTAGAGTTGATGCAGTAACAGAATGAAAAGGCATTTTTCAGTTTAGTCATATGGTTGCTGTGGTCATGTGGCAGCCTAATTTTGTGAAATTGTTCAATATGCACAAACAGCGCTTTATGTAGTGAATGCCAATCAGTTGGGGAACTGATTTCACACAACAGCAAATTGTTTGGGCTGATCATACAAGTTGGCCCTG